ACTCATCAAGGTTTTCAAACTGATAAGAATAGGAGATTTTCTGACTATGTGTAAGCACACTGCTGATTTTGGGGAGGAGGAAAATGAAAGAGGTAGGCTAGGAACTTCAGTTCCATGTTTGTAGAGGTGAGGAGCAAAACCACTCCTCAAACAACAACCATGACAGTTTGGAAGCTTCTGAGTCTGCCCACAGCACAGTTCAACACCAATTGTTTCTCAAGGAAGCTGGCTAAGAATCAAGTTGCTGCACACACAGCAAAGTGAAATTAGAAAACCGGCCAAGGAAATCAGCAGGTCAGGCTGACCAACTGAGTATAATAGAATTGAAATAAATCTCAAGCCTCAGCAGGAATGCATCATGTAATCAGGCAAATCCCTGGAAATCAGGGCTTTCCTGAAAACCAGACAAGTATAAAAAGAAAAAATTGTAGAAGAGCACACTGAATTTTAAATCTTCTTAGATACAAACACAGCTGTATATTCTAAATTGTTATCTCACCACTGGGATAAACCAGTTACCTAGACAGGCCATTCCACCACATTAGACTTGCAAAGATGGGAGATACAAGAATGACAAAAAACCCTGCATCATTTTCTTTGCATTTAGGTGGGAAAGAGACTACTTAACCATTCAAGACATCTGCTTTAATGCTGATAGGAGCACTGCTTTAGTCTTCTGGGGCCCAAAATTAAAATGAAAGTGTAAATGAAAGGTGTGATTCTACAAAGAGCCCTGAGCAGCTGCAAGGACACAGAAAAAGAACAGAATCCTGCCCCATAGGCTGGAACAAACTGTGTCATCATCTCTCCTATTGTAAACATATTAACATATCAATGTGTTATCATGTTTACTGAACAGCTGTAGAATAACTGAGGGGCTCAGAGTTGACTTGCTTCACCCACCTGGATTGTTTTGGTGATTTTCATGGCTAGATTTACTGTCCCCACAGGTGAGCTCACAGCAGCTGGAACGCTCCTTTTTAAGCTGATCTTCTCTCTGGCATCCACCACTTTGGTCACCTTTTCAGCAGCAACACTTTGCTGCTTACGGGAATTCAACATCTCTCGAGCATCCTGCACCTTCCCTTTGATTTTGAACCGAGCGTCCTTTTGGACCAGTTTTTCACGGGCATCTTTAACCCCCAGTTTTTGTCGGGCATCAGTGAGTCCAATCTTCTGTCGGGCATCAAATGTCCGCTGGAAGCTGACAGCTGACGATGATCTATTTAGAAGATTTTGCTGAATCCCAATGCGAGATCTTACACCTCCAAACACCGGCCTTGTGTTAAGTCTGGGGAGAGGGAAAAAAAAAAAAAAAAAAAAAAAAGGGAGAGTTTCAGACATTATGTGATACAGTGTCAATAAAAGTATTTGTGTCGCTGCAAAAAGAAGCTCGTTATTGCCACACAGAAATCCACTCAGATTGCATGTCTAAATACACAAGTAGACTTCCTAAGCTGTTTTATGCTGTATTTTACTTCCTACATAAAACAGTTAAGAAACTAGTTTCCAAAATCCATCCTTAAGATCACATTTACAAACCACAGGGTCTGACTTCAGCTGTCCTAAGTACATACTACATTTAAACAAAATTCAATGACTCAGGTAGTTTGGGGAAACCTTTGAAGACAAAGAGGAACAGAAACAGACTTTCTAGCCCTAGGACTGAACAGGTCTACTAAAGCATCTTTTGTAGTACAGCAATACAGCCCAGTACAAAGGAAACATGGAACTAGACGATTTCAAGAATTCTGGGTTGCAGATTCAGATTTGAGGGAGTACAGCAACTTGGATTTTAGAACGGACAAGCACAAGCAACAATCTCAGTTCAAAGCCACCAGTTTCAAGGTTGACTAGCTTCCAGCAAGAATGGTTACCAGTCAAATTACTTTTAAACGTGACTGCCTCTTCTTTAATCTACTAACAGAACTTCTGCACTCAACGGCCTTTACTTTTCAAGCACATCATTATCACGATACTGAGCACAGAAAGATAACAGCCCACAGAAAGGACCACGTTTGCACTTGTACACAAGTATTCCCAAGAAGCAGCACAATATGGAGTGAAAGCTAAAACTAGCTTCTTGTTACAGCTCTGATACACTTTTTTCAAAATCTGCCCTAAAAACCAAAACAGCTGATCTAACTTTTTAATCCACTTCCTCTTGTAAGTATTTTTAAGGTTTCCTCCTTCTCCATTGGGTTTCTTAAAAAAAAAAAAACGAAAAAAAGAAGAAAAAAAGGATGACAAAGTACTAAGAGAAATTTTAAAGTTAAGGTACTGAAAAAATATTCTTTTTGTTGACTTTTTAAAACTCAAAATAAGCTAGAGGGCTACAGTGTTCATCTGCTTTCCAAAATGTGTCATCCAGTACTATAAAGTCTAAAAGTAGGTATCTAGAATTTGTTGTCATACTCAAAAGATTAACATCACCAAATCAAATGATGTAATTTCAATTCTTCAGACAGCTTTATATCAGTACTTCCTGATCTAACCTACAATCTTAACATTACATATATAGACATTTGCAGTCATGTATATTCAGAGAGGACATGTATATTGGGAGAGATCTGCAAAAGGACAAACCAAAATAAAACAAGGGGAGGAAAGACTGAACTCTGCCTCCATCTCTTTCATTCTTGCGTCCAGACATCTGGAGAGCTGGGACTGGGGTCCCCTTTTGTTACCCAGCTAAAAACCCTATAGCTGCTCTCTCATACAGCCAAAGCACAACAGCTAGAAGAAACAGGAGTATTATTAAGACCATTTATTAAAACATAACCAGAATAATACAGAAGACTAAAAATACCCATAAAGTAACAGCCACAGAGCAAGACTTCCCTCACAATTTTAAAAAGTATTGATTAAGCTATGTCAAAAGCATTTCTTCAGAGTGCTGCAAAGGGCTTGATGAGTGGTTCTTTTTAATTGAGCATGAAAGAGGTCAAAATAAAACAAGAAATATATGTATCAGCATTTAAGCCAGCATTAGTTAAAACTGTTAATGACATCAGTGAAATTGGTTAGGAAATTCTGTACTGAGGATTACACCATTTCTGAAGACTCGTGTTTATCCTAGTAAACAACTCCCCTCCATAGATAACTGCTTACCCTACAACAGCATTAACTATTTAAGTGCTTTGTGCCACGGTACCTGAAATAAAAATGGATCTCAAACATCTAATTCACTTTCTAGAATTCCAAGTTCTTGCTTGAATATTTTGTGGGTTAGTCCATCCCACTGGTGAAGATTTTTCTACCATTTCCTCTAGAGCACTGAACAGCATGGACATAAGGATTTAAGTTTACTCAGTTCATCCAGCCCTCACAAAGTCAAGTTTGCTACCTCAGAAATCTATACAGTAAGCTACACATGACAAACAAGAGAAGTGTAAGGCACAAAAATTCTTACAGTGGGATTATTGTTCAGCAAATAAAAGCAGGAAGGACTCCTGGAAGAAATGAGAGTTAAGGAGGGATTTGAAAAAGGATAAAGTAGGTACTTGGGGCCTAGTAAGCAGCCTAAGACTGCTCCAAATATGCAGGATAACATGAATAAAAGTGCAAAGCCAAGGCCTTGTCTAGACCAGGATTTAAATATGTTTGAATGTTTTTCTAGCATGTTAGCAGATAAATTTCAAAATATTAGTCGAGGCATGTAAGTGTATATACATTCAGAGTTAAAAAACTAAGAGTAATAAATAAAAAGTGTAACAACAACAAAAAAACCCCCAACAAAGTAAAAGCACGCTGAGCAAACACAGATGGAGCAAAATCCATGGACAAAGTCTTCAGAAGCATCAAGAGAGTATGGCAAAATGGAAAACGAAAAGCTCCCGAAGGAGAAGCCAGGTAAGAACTGCCAGCTGCTGCACTGGAGTAAATGGCCCAACCTACACGGGCGAGAGCTGCTGTACAAAGAATCAAGCTGATCCCGCAGCTGATCTGCAACACGCTCCACATCCACACGAGCACTGCAAACAATCTGCCGGAGCACCACTAGCTACGCTACAGGGACTGCGGCCTCCGAGGGCCGGGCAGCGATGCAGGCGAAGCCCCGGCGGTCTCGCCCGTCGGCCCCGCTCGGTTACGGCTCCCTGAGCACCGCCACCCCTCCCGCGGCTCTCCCACCGTGCACCGAGCCGCTCCGGGGAGCGCGGGGAGACCGGGCCCCTGCAGACACTGCCCGCACAACACCTGCGGCCCGGACACCGAGGGGGCCGAGGGGCGCCGACCCCGGCACAGGGAGCAGCGCTGGGTTAGTCGGCAGGGAGAAGCAGGGAGCGGCGGGGACAGCGCAGATGTGCCGAGGGGAAGGCGAAGGGCTGTGGCGGTGGGTGCCCCTGCCCCGCCGGGGCAGCGCTGAGCGACGGCCGCGGCCACCAATCGCATCGCGGCGCGGCCCCGCAGCCCCGCGGCCGGGCCAATGGGAGCTCCAGGGCGGGAGCAGGGCCGGGCCGCGCCGAGGCAGCTGCGGCCCGCCGCGCCCGGAGCGGAGCCGCCGGGAAGGAGACGCGAAGAACGGGCGGGGCCGGCGGGCGCGGGGCGCTGCGCCGCTCTCGGAGCGCTCACCTCCCCTTCAGCGTCACGCCGCGTTTCCGTATGAGCTCGTCCAGAGACAGGTCCGCCATCTTGTCGCGGGGCCCAACGACGAGACGCAGCACGGAAGCCCCGGACGTGACACCGTGGGACTTCCGGTCCTCGCCCCGCCCCCAGAAGCGCGGCGGGCCCCGCCCTCGGCCCCGCCCCGTGAGACGCGGAGCGCCCACAAGCCCTCGCGGCGCCCGGGTGGCTCATTTGCATACGGTTTGGGTACATCCCGGTGCGATTCTGCCCGCGGCAGCAGCTCCGTGGCGCAGGAGGGACAGGAGAGGGGTGGGAACCTAGGGAAACCGCCAGTGGACTGTTCATAACGAAGTAACGTGGGAGCCGCTCGCCCTGACCTATAGAGCTAGCGCGCAGGCCTCTTCCGGCGGAGCGGAAAGCAAGTTGTTATGCCTTAAACTTATGAGTAAGGAAAATAACGACCCGGGGTGACGCCCGGGTCCTCACTGCCAATGTGAGAGGAATTTTTGCGCGGGTACAGGTCGCCCCCGGGTGCCCCGCCTACTTCGCGGGATGCCCGGGTGCCGTGATCTGCCCGACCCCCTGTGCCGCGCGTCACAAGGACAGAGCTCTCCTTGTTTCACACCGCAATGCTCGGCGTTAGGCGTGGCGCGCTCCGGGTGCCGTCCGCCCGCCGTGCCGCGGCCGGACGCTGCCTGCTCAGCCATGTAGCACGTCGTTACCGGGAAGGCAAATTACTCTAAAGATCAAAATAACCAGTGTCTCCCCCTGCTGCGTTCACTGAGCTGTCTTAAGGGCCTTCCCGAAGCTAAGAAATACATCAACCCACTCCTAATATTTCATGTGTCTGCAGGAAGTGATTCCTTTTCTGTGCTTCTGACGGAGGAATTAGACTGTTCAAAATCAGACTAAGACTGAAAACAGCAGTGAAAGGGAAAAGCTGTCTTGTGCAGCTTGGGCGGAGGTGACCTTCAAGGGATGCAGGACTGTGACTCTGGGTCTTACTGCAGGTCCTGGTGCTGCTGAGCCTCCCTCCCTCTGCCCTTTTGAAGCACAGCGAACCCCCAGGGCCTGCAGCGTGGGGGTTTCTTCCTGTCGTTGGAAAATGCTTCTCTGAAATGCAGTTTTGCTTCCACCTGCAGCTCTGTCTGATCCCTGGCACCTGTCACGAGGTTCACTTGTGACCCCTCCACAGCCTCCCTGTTACCTTCCTGCCATCTCCCCACTACAGCATCCTGAGCTGTAGTAACTCCGAGGCGTTGCCGTGCATGCAGCAGCATCCACCGTGTTGCTGCAGAGCTGGCAGCCCATGCGTACTCTGTGCTAGATCCACGGGGAAAACTCCTGGACTTCAGCAGAGCAGGAGCTACCAGCGAGGGCCCAGGACAAACGCAAAGGAGATGGACACTGCTGAGGCATCTGCTCACAGTTACACAGGCTCAGGATCCCACAGCACTGATTTCCTTTCAGGAATGTTTCAAGCCTTGGTGAGCCTAAAGTCATACCAACAGTGACACCGTGTCCCTGCTCAGTTGTCCACTGGTGCTTGATCTGGTTCCAGGGTGGGACATGACTGCGTTACTCTCAAATTAAGGTACACAAATTGTTAGCCCTTTTTGTGCTGCCTTTCTGCAGCTGTTGAGGTACTTGATTAAACTGAGGTGGTGGGGGGTATGATGTGTCACATTTGTTTTGCTGTTGCAAAACTAACAGGCAACATTTGAGAAAATTTTTATAACTCTAAGAACAGCGCAAGAGGTTCCAGACTAGAGCTCCATCTAGCCCGTATCCTGTTTCCAAGCTGCAAGGACCACCAGTGAGGGTCTCTGCCAGACACTCCGTCAACCTCAGTGCTCTTTGTGCAGCCACAATGCCCTTTGGCAATACCTCCACTCTGCTGCATGGTGAACCACATCCTCCTGTCCGTTTTGCTTCTGTCTGCCTGGTCCTTCACCTTCCACCTGTGATCCCTGGAGTCATCTTCTGTCCAGGTGAAGAATCCAGGCCTGCTCAGACATTCAGTGAAGCTCCCTTCCCTCTTCAGCAACGCCCTTCCCATGCTAAAGTCTCTGTGGGAGGCTGGTTAGGGGGCAGGAGCCATGCTGTTGTGGAAAGGAAGACTTTAAACCTCAGGATCTCCCATTGCCTGAATTTCCAATTTGTTTTACTCTTCCTGTGAGACACAACAAGCTGCAGCTCAGGTTTCACAGGTTCGTCCTCCAGGGTCCTTTTCTGAGCTGTGAATGAGAAGTCAAATATTTGCTCAGGAAAGGGCCTAGGCCTCTGCTTCCCTCCTTGAGGCTGGGAGAGGGGGGAAGGGGCAAGCAGCAGCAAAGAGATCTCCCTGAGCGCAGGGGTCCCTACAAACGGCTTCTTGCCCAAATGTGATGGGAAACTTTCAGGCCTGCCCTTGCTTTTCCAGAGGTGGGTTCCTTGAGCATGTCCCCATTGTCAGCTGAGACCCCACAACATGCGAGTCAGAACAGATGAGACCATTTCCCCATCTCTAACCAATATATTTTTTTAAATATTAATTAGGAAATTATGCAAAGGACTTAATCATATTAACCTTGGGATAGTATATCACATAGCATCTGATTTAAAGTATTACCTTTGTTGAGTTGTATAGATGCACATGAAGCAGCTAAAAGCAGAATGACGTGGCCAGAGAAAATGTCAGATAAGTTGCCGTGGAGCGAGATCACATCATTACTCAGTCCCCATAAAGTCCCTCTGTCACAGTGACTGACTGCAGATTTAAATGTGTGTCCTTGCTCTTCAAAGGACAGAAATCTATGTGCCTGGTGTGTCAGAAGCCAAATAACTTTTCTAGCTGATATCAGTTGGAAGAGATCCTAACCATCTAAGCTGTTACTGAATTACTGAATTTAATTCTTCTCTAATAATTATTACAAAGCTGTCAAAACTTTAGTATGTAGGCAGTACACTCCCCTTGGATTGCATTATTACCATAATCGTTACCTTGACACAGAAATATTTTAGATGAAAATTATTAAACAATTTTGTTATTGAACCCAAGGGGGAATTAGCTGCCGTAAGGGTAATTTCTCTGTCAGGTTTTGTACAATGAAGTAGAGTATTAATAATTACAATAACAATCTCTTGACTTTTTTTTTTCCATAGGGAAGACACAGAGACCTGAACATTTTTGAAGGTTATACCAGGAATCTCAGTTAATGTGAGTTCCGTTTGAGTTGTAGTTCTTGTTTATGTTAATAAAGTGAGATTTGGGATTTGGCTTACTCTGCTAATTATGTATTGAAACATGTTTGTTAATAGGAAATAAATAATTTTGAAAAGAACAGAAAACAAAAAAGTACCACATTTGGGATTTAGATTGGAATAAAACGTTTTCAGATATAATGGGATATTCTTATTATGGTAAAAGTTTAAACTACTAGCAAAATACACAGGACTAGCCTCTTTTCCTGGAACAGAAGTGTGCTCAGGTACACTAACCATACATGCTGCCTGCCTTTAGATAAGTATGAGTCCCCTTGCCAACCAGAAACCTTTCTATTATTTTGGTTGATATTTGAACACTTGGAGTCTATTTTTTATTAATATTAGACTCCATGACCGTCATGAGCTTATACTCCAGAATTGAAAGCCTAGCCTTGATTCACAACTGAAGTGAAAGCGAACAGCAGGAATTAAACAATAAGTTGTTTAGGGTGTTAGAAATGTTAAGAAAAATTGGTCCCTGCCCCACACAGCTGTCCTCAGAGTATGTGGTCAAGAATGTAATCCAAACCAGTCTGAAAAGAGTAGTTTTAGTCCTCTGCCATTCCTAAACTACTGTTGCCTTTGCTTTGCCTGTGTGTGTCAGGGGCATCCTAAATCAAAGAATGCCTCAGGAATAAAAGCTTGTGGTATAGTGGTTTCCATGTATGTGGAATTTGAATGGCACCACTGTTTTGTATATGTATTTAGTGTATTTTCTGCACTGCTTAATTCTAGCTAGATAAATTGGTAGACGTGTGTTATCAAATGCCAGTTAAATTTGTCGGATAATTCATACCAGATATTTGCTCTGAAGCACAGCTAACCCTGATATAAAATAGCATATGTTCATCAACATTATGTTGTTGATGTTTTTGCTCTCTTAGTCCTTTAAAAGAGTAGATAGTGACAGCTGATGAACTATACATTTTTTTTCACCCAATTTGTGGGTGAAAAATTTTTATCTTGTGATTTATGTGCATTTGGGTGGGGAAGGCAAAGGGGAGAAGAAAAGAAATGTGAATCTATTAACTTCTCTTGCTCATGGGTGAGCAGTCTCCCAGTCTGTTATCCTGTTTCATGAGAATTTGGTTTCAGTAACCCAAGACAAGCCTGTGTAGAAAATGAAACTGCTTGAAACATGCCAGCTTCAACCATGAAAGAGCTCAGCGTTGCTCCAGTTGCCCAGTTGTTCATTCGAAATTACTCGCATGAGTATTTGAGTGATCTTAACTCTCATAGGAGTCTATTTCATAGTAGTCTATTGTGAGGAATAATGAATTTCTAAGGAAACTTTTTTGTAAAATAGCTGCTGTTTACCTGCTCAGGTGCCCTTCTGGAAAATGAGCATGAGATATATCTCCATGCATTTAACCAGGGTCCAGGTACTTTAAAAAGCAAAAAAGCAAAAAACAAGAGAAGTCAGTGTTATAACACAAGTATGAGTTATGTGTTGTTGCAAGATCTGGGAAAATACAGGGGTGCCGTGTCTGGGATCAGGCTTTATCCCTCCAAGAGGAAGGCACAGTGGTGGGGTCGGAGCTTTTGTTGTGTCTATGAAGTATGTGCTCTGGGATAACTAAGGGAGGACATCTGTCTTGCAGGACCTGTAGGTTTCATTATCATCAAATTGCCTTTTTACATACACACACACACACACACACAGACACACAGACATGAAACCCTAAGGGCACTATTAACAGTACTGACCAGGTGCTTCTAGTGATCTAAACAGGCTCCACTGGGTAATCACAAGACTGTCTTGCTCCTTTTTCCAAGAGCTGAGTCTTCTGCATGTTGGTCCCATGGCTTTCTTGCAATGGGCAGGAGACTTGCTCTGAGCCAAAGCATCTGTTTACATTTTCTCTCTCCAGGTGTCTGAACCCTTGAACCCTGGTCCTTTGCAGCTGTTAGAAAGAGTCTGAGTAATAAGAGACAAATCCATTGGCTCACTGGTCTATCCATTCTCTGACCAAAGGCTCCTGCTTGTGTGAAATAAGTGAGAGAGAGATAGAAAAGGTCAAAGCACAGTTAACAGCTAAGGAGATATCTTGGTTTATGACTGCTGGCATACTTATCCTCTGATGGAAGATGTCCTATCCTCCAGAAACTGGGGCTCTGAGTTATGGAGCAATAGAGGCCAGCTATGCACCAGGTTGAGACCTCAGATATTGTCTGTGTGTTTTCTAAAATACTTAGCTAATGCAGTGTAGGATTAGCTCACCAGAAGCACAGAGAATCACTTTAATTGTGGGATGTTGCTGCTGCAGAGCATAGGAGGTAAGGAGCAGGATCAGAGATTCTCAGTCAGAATTGTGTCAGACTTGTGCAGGAGAGGCAGGAGAAGCCAAACACAGGGTACTTCCTGTTTACCCATCCCAGCTGGCCTTGCAGTTTACTAGCATTCCATATTGTGGCCTGAAGAGAGAGCTCTCAGGAGCACCCCAAAAGCTGGGGGAGGCCACAGCCTGCTGCACTCTTTATGCCATTCTTCAGTACTGTGTCTTAGTGATGAGATCTAACCTTAACCTCTCTCACTTCAGTGAGGATACCAGAAAAACTGTTTTCCTAGACAAATGTGATGTTGGGTGACACAAGCGGAGCATTGAGTATGCTGCTGATCTTTCTTTCAGTCAATGTTGCTACCAGGATACAAGTGACAATTTTAAATTCTGTTGGGAACAGCCTCTTTCTCCCTCTCCACACTGTGGGGAGAGCAGAACACAAAACAAGTCTGAGTAGGGTGTTGGTGGGAGCAGAGAGACAGGTGTCCCACAAAAGTCTTAAGCACTGAAACAGCAACTAGTTGCATTCTACAGAGCTGAAAAAAAGCCATTGTGCCTCAGCTCCAGGGTTAATCCTGCATCACTGGTAGGATGGTGGTGTAACACAGAGGAATCCTTTCTGGATACCAGGTAGGTGGTCTAGCCCGCTTGGCTATGGGAATTCATCTGTACAGAGCTCTTGTCTTGCAGGAGATGTCTCTGGCAGGGATGAGCAAACCTCGACTCACATTGTTTGCCATCCATCTGTGACGTATAAGGTGTAAACATATGGGTACACTTGCCTCGCTTCTTCTGGATGAAGAATCCATGAGCAGGGAAAGGGTCTTAGGATCTCCACTGATATTTGAACGAAGCCTAGGTCAGAGCTCTCTTTTAGCTTGGTTTGGATAGCAAATGAGAGTAAGTGAGGGGGAGGTTTTTGCATGGTTGTGTTGACTAATGAAAAGAGAGGGGAGTGTTGGAGAGTGGGTGGTGGGACATACCACACACTTCTCAGGCCATGGGAGAGTCTGCTTGCCCTGAGGAGGTACAGGGTGAAAGAAGCTGTGGGAAAACAACATTCCAGCAGTGGCAGTAGCATTTCTCCAAGTCTCTCAATGATGACACAGGGCAGAAGAAAGAAGGGAAGACAATTCTGGGTTATTTCATGATTGCATCCTATCCTGGGGAAAGGCAGGACATATCTCTGTGATTCAACCTGTTCTTAAGGAACATTCTTGTCAGAGGCTTCAGGCTATCTCAGGACAGAGCAGCAGCCACAACCATTATCCCTACTCCCAGTGACCTTGCTAGAACAATGGTGTTATACTGATTACTCCAAAGTGCTTAGACTTAGCTGTGACCTTTGATACTCAAATCCTGCGTCTTGTTTTACTGGTTGGAGTGGTGTAAGGAGTACAACCCGCACTAAATGCATGGCTTAACTCACTGCACAAGTGCAGTGAATATTGGTGAATATTCCCAGGTGCACTGGATATTTGTCCTGGGGGAAATCTCACACTCAAACACCAATAACTTGGAAAAAACACTGTGTTGGATCCCGGGCTAGATGCCCTTTGTGCCAGGAGATGTGATAGTGTGGCAATAGGGAAATTTCACACACAGAGACACTTTGTGGCAATCAGTGGAGTTTTGTTGCTGATGGATGTAGTACCTGGTCTGCTCTGAGAGGTTAAAAACCCTCTAAAGAGTTTGTTGGCCGTTTTGGGGCTACTGCACTCTAGGCCAAATGACACTTTTTACAGGGAAGGGGAAATTGTTGCTCCTTTGAGATCAGTTTGAGCATATGGAACAGGGAGAAGGTGTTTTAGCCTAAGAGCCCAGGTCGGTTGGATTCTGCTGGGCGCTGTACAGATGTTAGGAAAATATTTAACTGTAATAAATAGTGCTCAGTCTTGTGAATTCCTTTAACAGACACTGTGTCATCCTGTATTCACCCATATCAATGATTAGTGTGTGCAAGTGGATATCATAGCCTTGAGAATAAAGACTGGGCCTGAGCAATGCTGGTAAGAAGGTGTATCTTGGCCAGACCACATAGCTGAAATGCATACAAGGAGAATAAACTGGTTTTAGGAGGTTTGTGACCATTAAAGGATAATTTGAGGAATGGAATGTTCCCCAAAGACCACCAGAAACCCTCAAGAGAGCCCTCCTCTAATGTAAATAGGTTCTGAAAAGTTATTTAAATATGTAAAAGAATTTGCAGGAACATTTAACATCTATGTATGTGTTTTGGGAAATGTAATTAATGAGTTGCATAGATATAAACTATTATGTTGGATAGCTCAGGGTGCACATGTTAAGAGGAGCCATCCCCAATGCACCCAGCAGAAAGGCAAGATAAATATACAGGAAACACAAGAATTGGAGAATTTTTGTGACTTTGCAGGAAATGAGACTTGTTTTGTCAGGGAAACCATCGTCCAGGCTGCTCTGTGGGGGTAAGTGCCACCTGCAAAACCTCAGAGCAGCGATAAGCAACTTAAAAACACCAATACAGAACCTCCACTGCAGAAAAACTTAACCCAGAGGCTGTGACAAATCAGAATTTTACTCACCATTATTGGACTTTACAGGATGAAAACTGCACAGTCTTGTGATGTTTGCAACTTACTTTGCCTTTATTATAAAGATTCTTTTGTTCTGCACTTCCGCCTCTTGTCTAATCTACTTTATTCCACTTTACTTTTGGAAAATATCCTGTGGTCACTGACCAAGTTTAATACATTGCTAAAATATGTCACTGGCAGAGAGCACCCTATCCACCTAAGGCCAAATCACTGGAACCTTACAGTAAGAGTAATTAATAACATCTTTGGAGTATGGAAAGTTCCTATGGCCTTTTTTAACAGATACAAGATAAACTGAATTTTTCATTCAGCTGTGATAATCATAATTACTCTATTTTGGGAATTACCACAACAGTCAGAACAATTCTACTTCCAGAGGCTTTCTAATACTTCAGCATTAATTGAGAGACTGTATGTGCACAACACAGTTCAAATGTTGTTGCTTAAAAAATATATTTTTGAGCAGTAATTTAATAACATTTCAGAGCTCAGAAGAATTTGCATCTGTATCTGTGCTACATCTTCAGTTTTACATCTCTTTGCTGTCTACTCTTTCAGCTGGCAGGTTCCTTATGTAATACGAGATTGATTTAAGCTATTTTCTATTTTTTAGCAGTTTTCTTTGGTTAGAGCTGGTGCTATCTGCAGAAAACAAGGTCTTATAGGTAAGGAGACAGTTTGGAAGTAGAAGGACGTGGATTTTTTTTGCAGTTCTGCCACCTGCTCTGCTTAGGTATGCCTTTGTGCCTCTGTTTTTCCACCTATCTCACGTTGTTTTATCTGTTTAGTCCTTCTAGGGAACAGCTCAAACTCTTTAAGTTTATGCAGTGTAGCATATAGAGGCCCTCACATTTATTGTAAAAATAAACAATCCCCTTGGTGGAGAGTTGCTGTGGTTGTTTACATTTATTTATTCTGTCTTGTACACCTCTTTTCCTAATTTTGCAAATTTAAAATATGCCAGTTTAAATATTTTCTTTAAAGAGTTTTAATTGAAGTGCCTAATAACAGGTCAGCATTCCTGGAAAAACTCCCCATGTTGCTCTCAGTGTCATAACTGAGACAGACTTACTTACATGCAGTGGTTTCTCAGTTTTAAACTTGCTGAAGTTTCTGAAAGCAGGAAAGCAGTAGGAGTTACCTTATGCAAGGCTGTTGTCTTGTAAATTACAGTGTTAAAGAGTTTTATTTTTCCCAATGTTTTCAGTGACAGAAAGGGAGCAAAAGGGTCAGCTTCTGATGTTAGGAGATACTAGGAAGTGTATGTGAAGCCTGCTGGAAAGGTTGCAGCAGTGCTTGTAGCCTTCTGAAGACTTTTAAATCAGTCTTTGAAATATAAAGCTTTGTAACCTGAATATTTTAGCCTATCAAAAATTATGTTAAGGGGAGAAAAATCAAAGGAAAGGGCCATACATGAGGAGATGCAGAAGTGATGAGATAAAACTGATGCACAGCATAGGAGCAGACAGACTCGGGGAACCACAGGGTCTTAAAAATTAGACCAAAAATTTTCTAAGCAGATAACAAATAGAGCAAGACAGCTTGACATATGTGTAGTATTATACCTGTGTGATCACGTGGCATTTGGCTCAGGGTCATGCTGAAACTTCTGCTCGCTGGTACTGGACAACTTCCCTGTCATTTACCTTCTAAAACCTGGAAAAGATGAAATACTAATGCACTGCTTATCTGAGTCTGCAACACCTTACAAGGTATGAAAAACTAACTATGGTGGTTCTTTCTTTTGTGAAAGTTGTAGGAAGTATGGTGCATATCTAATTTTAATTCACCTGCTTGATTCCATAATAAATATTTCCAGTAAAGCTCAGTTTCTCATCATACTCTGGTTTTCTAAAAGCCAGTTTTCTTGCACATACCTGCATCCCAGCTCATGCTGTCAGTAAACTGCAACATGCTTACTGATACTGAATTCCTGAGAGAAGCAGAGCAATTTGCTTGCAGAGAGCTGCACAGACATTTGCCTTTCTTCCCGGGGGCCTGTTGAGAAAATCCCAGGGAGTTTGTGCAGTGAAGGAAACTGCTGGACTTGAAAGAAGAACTGGAGAAAAGGACTCGGCAGGCACACAGCAGGATTTTAAGTCTTTTTTATTTGGTAATTTTCAAGTTGCTCATAGAATATTGTCTCACACAAAATCACACAAACATGCATTTGCTTCATAGCATCACCCTTATGCCATGAAACACAATCTTTAGAGCTCTTTGGTCAAGAGCTGTGGCAGGTGTGTGGCAGAAGGGCTGTGGGAGTGGTAAATTGTACAGATGTGGGAAAGCAGCTGAGAACTAACAGGCAGGTGGCATTTGTGAGGAGAAAAGTGGCCTTTTGGCATGTAAGAGTGAGCCTCTGTGTCTGTGTCTGGGTACACGTGCCAATGCACTGCTGTCTTCTGAAAGTCCATTGTAGTCTTTGTGAGCCTTGTCTTTTGGTATCTTATCTCTTTCTCAGCTAAGTACTCTTTTTCCCAAGAAGGATGCTTGTTTCCCAACAGGCTGTCTTCATCCTCGCTGCTTATTTGCTAGCAGGAAACATGAGCCTGCAGTTTTTGCACCTGCTGTAGGCACGTGGGAGGTCAGGGGATTGCACTGCTGTTGTGGGTCATGCAAAGTGTTGGTCCTACTGCATGCAAGTACCTCCATAGGGTGGTTGAAAGTGCCACTGTTATCTGATAATGTCATAAGCATTAGTGAAGAGCAGGTAAGGTAGGCTGGAAAAACAATCCTCTTTCCACACAAATGCTGTTTGGAAACAGCAAGGAACAAATGTTACATAAAATGTATGCATGCTGCTGAGGGAAATATCTTCAATTGCTAATACATGTTTGTTAGTAATCATTTATCCCAGGAGTCCCAAGCTGGGGTTGTCTAACTTACTAGCTCTGAAAAGCAGGTAGTGCATGGGAGAAAGAAAAGTATCCTATTGCACAGCAGCTGTTTCATCCTCTTATGGCCATATAAGTGAGTAGCCTGACTCTGAAGTCATGCTACTTTTCATCCCAGACTACACCTCTCAAAATGGTTTGTTCCCCACGTTTCATTATAGGCCACAGAAATACTGGTTTTTTCCAGTACATCACGTCTTTCTTGTCCACGTGCTCTAAATCCTCTGCCGATCTTCCCTCTGTGTTCCACTCAGCTTTAACAGGAGGGTCCTGAAGAAGCAGCAAACAATAAATCCGACAGCACTGCAGTATGAAGTGGCTTTGGATGGCAGTTTCTGCATGAACACCAGCTTTCTGGAAATGAAGTGATAACAGTTTTCAAAGCTTTGTAATGTTATGATGTTACAAAGTTACATTTCCTTCCTGCTCTCCTTCTGTGCGGTTACTCCACGTGAACTAAGCAGTCAAGAACTTCACTTGTCAAAGGTGATGGTACCATTTGAGTGGGACATTCAGGGGTCCCAGGGTACTTAAAAGGTTCTTTTATTTACTAATTCCTGGCTTTTGGATTATTCCAGTATCCAGCAACTGTCTCTATTTCCTCATAGAAAGATCTGCAAGGAGCTTGATAAGGCCGAGCTTTTTGAAAGGCCCAGCAAGCTGCAAAAGAACGAAGCTTGTCTTTGGAAGTTTCATATGTCTGTGATATACATATGTCATATATCTTCCATAAAAAAACCCATTAAGGCAATAGTCCATTTGGATAGTAAGTATCAGGGCTTTGTGCACATCAGCAGCATCCACAAGCTTTCTCCTGGCTCCCCAGGGGTTTGGCTGCTTGTGTTCAGGGTCAACTCTGATATAGCATGGTCATATAACCTTGGATTCAACTCCTGCACAAACAGGCAAAGTGGCAGAAAAGATGGTGTGGGAAGGAGTTATGAGAAGCCTCACCCTCACCCATAGACCCACCAGCACTTGGCCCAGGAGCTCAGTGGTGGCTGGGTGCTTGCCTGAGCTGTGATGTTGGGATGTCTGTGCCCAGCCTTGCTGACCCTGCCTGACCCACAGACCAATTCCACAGCTCAGTCTTGACCTGCCTGGTGATCACTGGTCTGTAACCCTGATGACCACTACTAGCCCTGCTCTTTGCGCCTTGCTGGGGTCCAGTAGGACTGTGCCTTTGTTTGTAGGGGCACTGCCCTGCCTGTCCTGCTGTGCCTTCCGTACAAGGTTACATGTACATTTATCCATGCCTATGAAAATCTTTTGGGAGTATATGGGCTGGAAGGACCTCACCATAAGTGGTAAACAACCTCAAGCAGAAGGGAGACCTCCCTTTTTTTTTAAATAACAAGCTGCACAGAAAATTGAACCACTGCTTCTGTTCCTGGGCTGTATCTTTACTCACCTTAACAATTTCTCTGTAAACCTCAGAGTAGTTTTGGTAACATGATTGCCCAAAGAGATTCCTTATTTCTCGCATGATCCCCTACAAAACAGTCATAGCACAAAGCAGCCTGTTATCATGTAATATGGCAAAAACTGGGAATTTTTGTTCCTCAGGCTGTGTCAGTCAGCAGTGGAGAAGTCACGCATTTCAACATTTGAAGAAAGGTCCCATAAAAGCAACATAGGGCACTCATATATGTGCCTCAGCCAGCGGTGTATTATGGGACACAGAATCATATAATATCTCAAGTTGAAATGGTCCCACAAGGATCATCAAGTCCAACTCCCTGCTTCTTATAGGAATAACTCGCCTCTTAGAGAGAAAGACCTGTTTTACCTGTTTTATTTATTATGCTGCTCTCATACTTAGGGTTACTGGAGCTTAGCGTTCTACATCCACATCCCTCCCAACTCCTGAGTTATCCCCAGTGCCATTGTCGATAGATTTTGAGCAGCGTCTTTAGCAGAAGCAAAGTTCTAAATGAATGGCCAATGCAGATGGCCCTTTTACCCCACTGCTTAGGTGCATTTACACAGAAACATAAAATACCTGTTTGCTGTTGGTCATAGTGTCATTTGAAGGTGGAATGCCAAGAACTGTAAATATGTCAGCTGTTCTCTGCTGTAAATCTTCCTCACAGGCATCAAAGAGCCTCTGCAGTGCAAAACCAACAGCTGATTACAGCAGCAATCACAGTGAAACGAGGCGTAATGTGGAAAACATGTGCTGAAAATGCATCTATGTTAGAGTAAATTGTAGGGCCACTAATTGATTGAAATGTGTCTTCAATACCTGTAAAACAAACTGTTTCATTGAGCTGCTTGCATGTTGAAGCCCATTCTTCAGCACCTGTGGGGCCTTATCATCACAATCAATGCTAATAATGGTCTAATCTCAGTTTCGCTCTTTAGGGTGTATCATTTTGGTATTTTCCATCAGATTCCTCCCAGCATCAGAGCAGTGAGTCAGCCATCAAAATGAAGTCTTTCAGCTAGTAGTTCAAGCATTAACCATAAGAAAACTGGACTGTTTCCCCACTTGGGCTTAACACAGGTGTGATATTGAACTGATATTTGAAAGGCAGGAGGAAGCAGATCACTGTCAATTTGCTCTCTGCAGCATTCCATAGGCCCTGCTGGGCTGGAAAATCAGAGATCCAGACTTGGGCCCCAGCCCTGTCCGCTGCAGAAATACTAATACCCAAAGGCTGCTGTACTGGCTATACCATATTGATTTGATTAGAATCAGATTGAAAAAATGGACAAGAACAAACCTTAATCACGTGACTGCCTTGTTCATACGTCCAAGGGTGGGGTGTGGAGGTCCTGACTTTCTCCCACTCATGTAGCTGGAGCATCTCGTACCTCTGCAGCACAGCAGTCAAACGTGAAGGGTCATTCATGTCCTCAGAGTGCTTGTGCATGGCCATCGCTTTAGACAAGAGCTCTGCATTTCTAGGGCAAAAAGGATATTAAAAGCACTTAGCTAAGGCAGGATAAAACAATGAACAGGCCTAACTATTCTATATTATCAATCTATTTCATGAATCCCATGTTTTCTACAATGCACTTCTCAACTACATTCTGTAGCTGACAAACAGCTTTCATGTGGGAAATACTGCTTCCTCAGCTGAGTTTTGCATGATCACAGTGAAATCGGATCAGGATGGCATCTTGACTATGTCACTGTAGACTGGTTTCTTTAATTAATATGTTCAACCTGGGAATGTCTCCTACCCTTTGCAGAACAACTCAAACTGTCTTCCAGAAGTCAATTACAAAGAGATGCTGGCAGGTTGAAAGTCTGGGGAGAAGATGTCCAGGCTGTCTGGTCAGAAACAGAGTCCCTAAGGACTGGAGGAAGCAAGAAGTGTGTGGTTTTTCAGTGTAGAAACACACAGCACCTCCAAAATATGAATAAATACCTTACCTCGCCTCTAGCTTTTTGATCTCCCCTTTCAGCTTCTCATTTTCCTCTTGAAGGTCTTTTCTGACAGCCTTTCCAGGAAATGCTCTGAAACAGATTTCTATTGTGAAATATCTTTGTTTGTGCTTGGACACTGGCACAACAACTGGCTCACCCCTACTGAATAGTCTGAATTTCAGAAAGAAAACTGCGGGGTGGGAAAGCACAGAGCATCCAGGAAAAACTCCAGGGTAGCTTAACAATCTCCCCTGAAAGCCCCCCCACAGGATTTATGCTCAAATTAAGGTGGAAGCTATTTACATCAGAAGAAATGGAGGTGTGGTTGTGAGGATTATTATGATTTTCCCCTCATATATAAACTTTTAATATAAAGAATTGTATTACCCGTTGCAACTCTCCAGGTGTTGTAGTCGAGTATTAACAGAGTGAGCCCAGTCTCTGTTCTTCTTTTCTGTCCGTCTATCAGGGAAGAAAGAAATAATAAACCACATTAAAGTCAGTAGGCAAGCACGTATTAAAGTCTCACAAAATGCCCTTCTTCCAATTTCTAATCAGCCCATAGGGAAAAAAAATCTAGAGATGAAAACTTCTCAAGGCTATTCTTTGACAGGTGGGTGGTTTGCGATTCTGTGAGTCAACAGCAATAGTACAAATAAAATATTCCCAAATTGTGAGATCTGCATGTAATATAGTGCAGATCAAACAGCTTCTGTAAATTGGCTCCGGGTTCCCAGTATAGACTGGATGAAATTTGTTGCTAACTCAGAGCCCTTGTGTCTGGCTTATTTGTAATCTTCTGTCCAACCTGCCCTAGTGTGCACCAGCTGCAGTTGATCATCGGGGGCCATGCTAAACACAGTCATTTCTGGTCACCGGACTCACTCTATAAATTTTTCCACATTTGTTATCCTTTTTTCCAGACTATAACAGAAGGCCTCCAGGGTTGCAGTCTGCTTTCCATGGGCTGGTGGCTGCCATGAGTTGTCAAATATATGTCTGAGGAAAAAAAGAAAAGGGAATTCTCAAAATTAAGGGAGAAAAGAACACATACTTGAAACAAGACCCTTATAATAGACAGTCCTGTGAGCAGAGGTTTCATGATTACACCCAAGCTTGCAAACGGATCAGAGATAGGACAAAGGCTCCAGGGCCCACTGATGTAGATTTGGCACAAGTGAGCTAGCATTCTCACGGATAATGCCTGATACAGCTCAGAGGACTCCACAGGCCAGGGTTTGCCAAAAATAGGAGGGTTTGAGTAATCATTAGGTCTGGATGAAATGGGCAAGATACAGGGAGAGCTCCTGAAAAATGAACTCAACCTAGAACTGCAGTGTGTGGGGAACAGCAAATGCACGTGACTAAAACCAAATTTGCGATGTACGAGTGTGGGGGTTTTTTAATAGAGAAGTACAAAGCTCTGTGTTCTCAAGGTAATTTTTTTTTTCTACAACTGCTCTGTGTCTTGTTTCCTAATGAGGATCCCAAATACCAACTATTATTGCAGAGACAGTCCCAGATTAAGGTGCTCCTGCAGGTCGGATGCAGATGGAGCAGAGAGCAAGCTCCTCCCTGCAACCAGATGTCAGAGAAAGCCTTAAAATAAGGCTTTACCATTGGTTTGTGCCAATACCAGTCTGCATAGCTGATGCAAGGGACTGTCCTTCCCCTCTCTCTTAGCATCCCTCCCTCTCCCTCTGAAGCACATTTTGGTTTTGTTTACTTGAAGGGATTCCTTTCCAGTTAAATCACTTCATTTCCAGTCTTTCAGTAAAGACAAGTTTTTTGTTCTTTAAGCTCAACAATCCAGTATAAAATTTGCATTTTAGTCAGCCTTTTCCTGCAAAATTGATGAGCTCAGAGTCTGAGTGCCAAAGTCCTGGATCTTGTTACACTATTTATACTGATCTTTCCAATTTGTCTTCCTCTTACACTGATTTAAGATCTGCCTCACCTTCTGGGGCTGAACTTAAACTGAACTTGAGAAAAGTAACCATCCCTGTGATGGGTAGGAAGATTAGGAAGAAGAAAACAGAGCTTTTACTGAAATATTTCACAGTCAGGAAATGTTTGCAGTCTTTCATTACAACCCCCCAAGGAACTTGTAGAAATATTCAGACCTACTAAGGTTAAACTCGGTAAGTTTATCCAGAGACATTTCCTGTTTAACATACCTGCTGCCTTGTGTAGTCATCATTCCGGGATCGGCATCGTCACACTGTTCTTCCGACACCTCTGTTCTGCTGTAGGCAGAAGAGTGGTGTGTAGCCATACCTTTATAGCAGCAGCAGGTGTTTGTTGAAACGAGTGGGCAGCACCAGGGACGCTCCGTATTGCTGGTAGCGCAGGAAGCTACTGAAACCTGAAAAAGGGTCTTTGCTGCTGTAAAAACCAGAATTCCTCTTTACAGGAAAAGGCACAGGTCGAGTGCCACACCTCTCTCCAGCCTATAAAGTCAGTGGAGGTGGACCTTCACCCTGGAGCAGCAATCATTTCAGTTTCGTAATGGTGGACCTTCACCCTGGAGCATGAGTCATTGCAGTTTCATCCCAGTCCCACCTGTTCACTCCTCTCTAGCTGCCAGAGCTGCACACCTCTGCACTGCAGTTGGCCATGGCCAGCAAGTCAGTCTTTGTTGTTGCTATAGATTTTGGCACATCCTACAGCGGATACTGTTTTTCCCTTGCTTCAGGTACAGACCAAATCCGCGAGGTGTACTGGGGAACAGAGCACGGGTTCAAGACCCCAAAGACACCCACGTGCATCTTGTTCAACCAGCAGCAGGAGTTCAAGAATTTTGGCTATGATGCTGTGATGAAGTACAAGAGCCTGCCCTCCAGCAAAGCTGAGAGCTGGTACTTCTTCCAAAACTTCAAGATGAAGCTGTACAACACAGTAGGTGAAACAGTTACTGCTGTGGGAGTCAAAGCTATTAATTGATTTGTGGTGTGGGGTTTAGAGAACTGATGAAGATGGCTGAGTAAAATTGGCTGATCAGAAAGAATGAACATAAATCAAGGAGTATTTTTATGAACGGAAGAAGAAATTATTTATTTTTGTAATTTGCTGAAAGCTTCATGGACCCTTCCTTTATGATGTTTTTTAATTGTTTAAAGACAATCAAAACTGACTGCGTACCTGGGTGAAGCCAAATAGACGTGTGCTGGTTTTGGCTGGGGTAGAGTTAATTTTCTTCACGGTGGACAGTATGGGTCTGTATTTTGCATTTGTGCTGAACACAGGGTTGATAACATAGAGATGTTTTTGTTATTGCTGGGCAGGGCTTACACAGAGCCAAGGCCTTTTCTGCTTTTTGTACTGCCAGGCTGGGGAGGAAGGTGGGGGTGCATGGGAGGACTGGAGGAGACACAGCCAGGACAGGCGACCCCAACCGACCAAAGGGATATTCCAGACCATATGACATCGTGCTCAGTGTGGGGAAGAAGGAGGAGAGGGGGAATATTGGGAGTGATGGTGTTTGTCTTCCCATGTCACTGTTATGTGTGATGGGGCTTTCTCTCCTGGAGATGGCTGAACACCTGCCTTTCCATGGGAAGAAGTGTTTTGTTTTTCTTTGCTTATGTACGAGGCTTTTGCTTTGCCTATTAAACTGTCTTTATCTCAACCCATTGCTTTTTTGGCTTCTCCCCTTCCAATTCTCTCCCCAGTCCTGCTGGTGGGGGAATGAGCAAGCAGCTGTGCGGGGCTTGGTTGCCACCTGGGGTGAAACCACAACAGTTCTTTTTGGCACCCAGCATGGGGCCTTCCCACAGGCTGTGTTCTTCATGAGCTGCTCTAGCGTGGGTCTCCCGTGAGGCCACAAGTCCAGCCAGCAAACCTGCTTCATCACAGGCATCTCACAAGGTCACACCGTCCTTCAGGCATCCATCCACCTGCAGCCCTGGAGGTTCCACCAAGAGGGAACATGTTCCTAACAAAAAGCTGCCCTGTTACAGAGCTTGACAGAAACTAGCCTCCCTCTGGGGCTTCCTGCCTCAGTCCTCAGGGAGGAACACAGAACAAGTGAAGTTTCCTGTAATTCAAAGGAGATGAGCAGTGTTAAGAGCTCATCCCATGTTGTATACTTCCCTCTAGCTTGTCTCTCCCTCACCTGAAATGTTATGTTGAAGCCACTTTAAGGATGGACAGCTGTCTTTCAAGCATGTAGTGACTATCATTTCTCTCTGAAGGCTCTGTGCTAGAATGTTTCACAGCTTTTTCTGGGTTTGCTTGTTCAGCCAAGCATCATAGGGCCTCCCTACCTGTGCTCCAGAGTCCCACAGGGCCTCTCAAAGTGTAGAATAAACCAGAGCACAGGGCCAGTCCCAGATGAAGTTCTGTGTCCTCTCTTTGGCATCTGCCAGTGCTAAGCAATGAGAGCTGAACTGGATGCCATGATGGGTGTGAGGCCTCTTTGAAGACTTTCCTCCCCAGGAAGCTAGGAATGATGTGGTTGTCACAGTGTCAGCTCTGGAGTGGTGGGTTCTCACTCAGTTCCAGAGGGGGGCTGAAGAGAGGTTTTAGTTCCAAACCATTTCTCTGCATCCGAGGAGCAAACGGTTAAGGGAAATTTCATTACAGAATCACTCCCCACTGGCTCTTCAGAGGGATCTACAGGATCTTTACAAACTTGGGCCTAGGAGAAACAGCCAACTTATCAACCATATTGATATTTTACCTGCTGAATCACAGGTGTGTTTGGTAGCTGACCTGTGTCAACTGGGCTGCAGTTAGCCACAGTACTGAAGCCAGTGCTTGGAGTTTACTCAGGTTTGGGTACGACGTCCTTCTGTGCCAAATGTTGTGCAGTGCTCAATGTGAAGGGGACAGGTCTTGTACAGAGATTGCAGTGTGTGACCCTGAGACTTTTTCTGTAGAATGTCACAACTGGCATGGAGCTGGAAGCCACCAATGGAAAGATGCTTCCTGCCCTGACAGTCTTTTCCGAAAGCCTGCGCTACCTGAAGCAACATGCCCTGGACACCATTAAAGAGGCCTCTTTCCAAACCGTCTATGACGAGGAGGAGATCACCTGGGTCATTACTGTCCCAGCCATATGGAGCTCTGCTGCCAAGCAGTTCATGCGTTTGGCAGCAAAAGAGGTAAAAGCAGGGGTTATCCCACTGCCTCAAATTATCTTTGGAGGTTTCTTTGCCCATCGAGGCAAAGGAACTCCTCAACAGGTAAACAACCTGTATTTCAAACTTCATTCCGCCGGGGAAATCTTCCACGCTGAGGGTGGTAGGGGAGAGGATGTCCCAAAGTGTCAGTAACAACAGCTCTGCTCTATCCTCCCACCACCATGTAGAAATGAGCCCCACAGAGATCAGCGGTGCAAGAACCACCACCCCTGCATGGGCTCCATGTGAGAACAGTCTCCCTAGCGGGTGGTGTTCATGCAGCAGTAATCTCAGCACCTTTCCTTGAACTGACTCCTCTTTTTTGTGATTTTAGGCAGGAATGATCTCTGGCATGCTCTCTAAAAATCTGATCATTGCCTTGGAGCCAGAGGCTGCATCGCTGTGGTGCAAACAGCTTCCACAGGAAGGGTTTATGGCAGACAGCAGTGACAAGAAGAAGTTTGAAGACTCCCCTGGGATCCAGTATGTTGTTGTTGACTGTGGAGGTAAAATTTCCCCTGATTAACAGGGACCATCTTTGCTGGGCATGGAGCGTGGCTGTTTCACAGTGTCCCCAAAGGTCTGCAGTGCAGTCCCAGAGCTTGGGCTCCACTGCTTGTGCTTGTGCTTGTGCTTGTGCTTGTGCTTGTCATGGGGTTTTTATTTTTACTTCTCACTTAATGAGATCCCATAGGCAGGCAGAAAAATAGGAGGAAAGAACAGGATTGTGTTTCACGCTGTAGTGCACTTCAGGCCAGACAGTTGCAACAAGAGCTCCTGCCATCACTCCAGATCAGCCTGCACCACATCCAGCATCAGCCCCTGGCACACACCCACGTCCTGTTGTATAGCCTGAGCTCACAGCCTCCTCCATAGGAGCAAGTGTAGTTAGTGCCCAGTGAACTGACCAAAGAAATTAGCTAGCAGGTACCGTAGAGTAAATAATTTAAACTGTTTGATGAAGTACTTCTTAGTACTCTTTCTAGTTTCTTGAGTGAGATTTTTTGGTGTGATGTGATTTTTCTGCTAAGAGCAGTCTGGTGATCATGAACAAATACTAACTAAAAAGGCATCAAGAGGACCACAGGTTCCTGAGAGTCTTATCACCACTGTTCATCTTTACTCAGAGCATGCATATTAAAAAGCAGGAGTAAACTATCTATGTGAGGAGGCCAGTTCTCTGTCTGTGACAAGGAAAGAGATTGGCTTGTTCAGGGAGCAAGTCAGAGCATCCAGCTCTTATTGGAAATGACTGTAGGAGCCTTGAGAGACCAGGATTGTAAACAAAAGTGCATAAATTTAAGAAATCTAGAGAAGTACAAGAAACAGCAGGAGTGAGAATGAGAAAAGAAAGCAGCAGAAAATCACGTTTTGCAAACCAGGAGTTAGGAAGGTAAGATTATATTCAGTGGAAGCTACAGACCTCATGTACTTTAAAGAAAACAGCTAAAATCATTCATGTTTGTGTGTGTAGGTGGCACAATAGACATCACGGTACATGAGATCCAAGAAAACCATTACCTGAAGGAGTTACACAAGGCAACTGGAGGTGGATGGGGAGGCAACAGAGTGGATGAAAACTTCACGTATTTCCTCAGGGAAATATTCAGTGATGGTGTATGGGATGAATATGTAAAGAGCCACCCTACTGAATTACAACATATGATGTACAACTTCGGTCTGCAGAAATGCTCTGCTAGCAGAGAGGCAGTCTACATACATTGCTACTACAACCTGATCAGAGTGGCAGAACGCAAGAAGGACATCGCTCAATTCTTTGAAAAAGCACACGGAGCTGTGTGGTGTGATGGGATGGTCATGATTACATACGAGAAAATGAAGAGCTTGTTTGACTACAGTATCAAAAACATAATCTGTACTTTGAGGGAAATTCTTGACAAACCTGGGATGGCCAAGGTCCAATACATTTTGCTTGTGGGGGGCTTTGCGTCGAGCATCATTTTGAGAGACGCGATCAGTCAGGCCTTTAGCAAGAAGTATCATGTCCTTTGTCCAGTGGAGGCTCAAGCGGCCGTTGCAAAAGGGGCTGTTTTATTTGGAGTCAATCCACACCTTGTTACCTCAAGAATCAGTGCTAAGACGTATGGTTTAAAAGTAGGTCAGGAATTTGATCCTGCTATTCACGATGTCTCTAAACGGAGGGTCTCAAAAATTGGTGACTATGCTTATTGCACAGATCTGTTCAAGAAATTGGTGGGAATTGGGGAGTCAGTGAATATAAACGAAGCTGCCCAGTATGATTTCTATCCAACAGAAGCAGATCAAACAAATGCACACTTTGTTTTCTATTGCACAGAAAAACAGGATGCTCAGTACGTAGATGAGGAAGGTATCGAACAGCTTGGGTCCTGTATAGTGCCAATGCCAGAGAGATGTCTGGGAATGCAACAGCAGCTGAAGATGGAGATTAAGTTTGGGCTCACTGAATTTAAAGCTACATGTACTGATGTTGCTTCCAAAGAAAGTCAGACAGTTATAATAGATTTTTTAACTGTGTAAGTACTTGGTACAATGAGCAGCAGAGGCTGTAACTCTAGGGAGAAAATGGCTTTAGAGGGAGGCAGTATGGTCAAAGGTTGGACTCGATGATTTTGGAGGTCTTTTCCAACCTTAATGATTCTAATGATTCAATGAATCCTACAATAGATGAGGCAATTGTACCAATAAGTCCATCATATACCTTTCTGTTTACACAGGTAAACTGCTAGTCTGATTCTGTGGTTCCTGCCGTTGCTCACCAACCACCCTTTCAATCCAATACAGACAGACTTTCTGTTGTATCTGACAGCAGGTTTATCTGCTGCTTTATCTTGTGCCGTATTTAGCTTGCATTTCTGAACACAGTGTCCATACCACCGATGTAATCATCTGTATTCTACCTGTATTGGATGCAAAGACTCTGGATAGTGTCTAACTTTCACATAAACCATCCCACAGCTGTTTATTTTAGCCTGTTGTCTTCTTTCAGCTGCATCATCTTTTCCTCTGATGTCAGTTCTCTTTACCTGGAGTCCGGATTTAACTCATTTGATGGATTTCTGTTTTCTTCAGGACATCACTAATATAAATTGTGTGTAATTAAAGCAGTTGTATCCCAAACAGGAGTGCTCTGTGAAGCAGTCTGGGGGCTTGTGTCCAAAACCTGTGGGAGTATTGTTTCTATGAAATTATTAGATGGTTTGATCTCATTAATTTGGCAGATATGAACACCAGATTGTAACATTACAGATATGAATAGTACTTATGCTGCTGCCTGAGCCCCTCTGTTGAGCTCTAGGTACTCTCTGCATCTCTGACTTGGGCTTCATATTTTCCATATCCATAAAATCTTATTTCTTTGCCTCCTGCCTATAGCACCTATGCAGAGGTTCAGTGCAGTGTGGCCTGCATGAGCCTAAATTTGTCCAAGGAAAGGATGCAATCCTGCAGTGGGCTGGCTCTGGTTGGGGTGGAGTTAACTTTCTTCACAGTGACCCCTGTGCTGGTATGTGATTTGTGACCAAAAGGGTGGTGTTAGCACACTGACAGTCTGGGGAGAGGCAGGGTGGGGTTTTCGAAGTTTTCAATCCCCCTTCACTAAGGATGTAAAGTTTTCCTGTTGAACACCAGCCTGTCCCAATGTAAAGTTTTGGTTAGCTGGATACACTGCAGGAAAACTCAGCACTGGCATTTTTATTAGCTTAATGGTCAGGTTAGAGTCAGTGCTAGCCATGTACTTAATGTTATGAGTTGTGAGAGCAGCATTAAGAAGACTAATTTGCATATATGCTATGCCCTGTGATGTATAAAAGTGGAGGTATTTTGAAAACATTACCTTTGTTTTCACATTTAAAATCGTAAGCACACAATAAAAGTATTCACAACAGAAACCTCTGTGCCTTTCTACCATGTCAGGTGGCACTGCTCTGTACGCTTTGTGAGGGCCATTCTGGGTGGCCAGGTCCCAGGAAGCTGAGTCCTCCTGCTTTTTTCTTACCCATTGCATTGGGTACTTTCACCAGTGCAAAGTGCAACACGACTCCACTCGAGCCCACTAATGCTCTGGAATGAGAAAGAGGAGTGTGCTCCGGGAAGGTGGCAGCTGGGAAAGCCGCGTGCATCTGCCCCAGATCTTTCCCACCTATGAGCTATGTGGCCTTTGGGATTCAGACACTGACATCAACAGTTGTGACTGCAACTCCTAATTTCACTTGTTTTGATGAGCTGATTATGTTGATAGCCTCAGATACTGAGCATGGAGCAGATGTGTTTCTTTAAAAGCAGCACTAAGTATCAGCATCTGGAGCTAAGCATCCCTGAAACCTGGCAATATGGGCCATGGGCAATATGGGAATTAACCCCTGTTACATAAAAAATAGGGTGGTGTATTTATATTAAAAATTACAGATCACAAACTTTCAAGGATAAGAAAAGATAGGGAGGTTTGCAGTGCCTGTAACTGGGACATTGACGGAGCTCTTCAGGAGTCATCGCTGCTGGATCCTAAATGGCTGGGTGGGTAGAAGGTGCCATCAGTTTCTGTGGCTGGAGCTTACCACCTGCCTTCTGCCGAAAGCACATGACTTGTTGGAAACAGAGAGGAAGCAAACACTACTTTGCACTGGTGACACACCCATCCTCTGCTTCCTTGGGTGGGGACACAGCCGGGAAAAGTTTGGCCAAGGTCCAAACACAGTGGGTGTGCTCCCTGCTCTGGATTTCCCAGCAGCGTCTGCCTCCCTGGCCTGACCTTGACGGTTTGAGGACAGATGAATTTAAAAATTCACAAAAAGTTCACAGTAACTATAAGTTAGTCCTGAAACTGGGACAACGGGGAGCCAGAGCACTGGAGCTCTGAAGAGTCCCCAAGAACAGAATGCTATAAATCCTGATGTCATTGACAACTAACTGTTCAGATGGATTCAAGCAGGAACTGCAACAGAGGTTTAATAACAATAAGGTTAAACATTAGCTTAGCAACAGCTGATAGGATGAAAATATAACCTCAAGTTACCTTAGATGGCTATAATGTTAAAAACCACACTCCCAGGGGAATTTGCATGTGGAAATGATAGTATAATGAATTGGATCAAGATTGGCACATGCACATTAAAAATTATACACGCATGAGCAATCAATCTCCTGTTTCTGCATGATTCTTTTTTCTGTTACCTTTTTGTAAAAAGGACTCTTCCTGTTTCCCAAAAAGTGTGCCAGCTGTGCTAGATGCCTGGCACTCTATTCTGCAATCTGTAATAAAATCACATAATTCAATGTGCTAATTGGCTGGAGTCTGACTATATATCAAGTGAATGAGGACCTCCATGGTGCAATGTTCCAGAGGAGAGTGGAGGAGAACAGGGGAGAAGTCCCCTAGGGAATCAGAGAATGTTTTGGATTGGAAAGGACCTTAAAGATTAATTAGTTCCAACCCTTCTGCCATGGGCAGAGACACTTTTCACTAGACCAGGTTGCTCAAAGTTCCATCCAACCTGGCCTTGAACTCTTCCAGGGATGGAGCATCCACAACTGCTCTGGGTAACCTGTTCCTGTGCCTCACCACACCTGTGAAGAATTTCTCCCTAATATCTAAACTAACCCCACCTTTTTTCAGTGTAATGCCATTACCCTTTATCACTACCTGCCATCTCCAGTAAAACAGTCCACCTCCAGCTCTCTTGTAGCCACTTTAGGTAGCAGAAGATGCTATAAGGTCACTCCAGCTTGTGAACTACCACAAACAAAACCAGAGGGGAGGGAAATGAAGGGTGAACAAGGGAGGTGAGGAGAATAAGACTAAGAAAGCTAAGAGAGAAGATATCCTTGAGCAATGTGCATTGCTACCACTGCTCAGGCCAGAGGGCTGGGCTCACAGCCATGCTCCAAAACTTCTTCTACTGAGATGTTCATAGCAAATCAGGGTGCACCAGGGTCTGCAAGGAGAACACGACAACTACAGAGAGGAAGAAAATTTGCAAGCAAGTAATTGTATGTACTAACATTCCAAAGAAAAAACAGCTCTACCTCCATATTTCAGACCTGCTTGAGCCCTTCTCCCTTTGGCTACAGTTGGTGCTGCTCTTTGTTCAGGAGTTCAGTCTCTCCCAGGTCACCTATGACAAACGCCTGATGCACTTTCTGCTCTCATCCAAAAACTTGGTGCTTTCCCCACTGAGCTTCTGCCAAGCAGTTTTAGCTCCCAAGACCTGGAAATTGCCAACTACTGTGGTGCTGCCCTTGCTCCTTCCCCTGCATTCGTGTGCTGGTGACTGGGCTTGGCCAACCAGTGCTACTCTGGCTAGTGTTTGCCTTCAAAGAGGCAGAGATCTCAGCAGCACCACAAATATATCCCCCTCCCCCAGCATCTCCTGAGATCTTGGGAATTTTTCTGAGGATTTGGGGGTGAGAAAGGAGATGGCTCTGCAGCTTTTTATCAGACTACTCTTTGTTTGCTGTGATAAAAAGGGAGAGGGAGGAAGGTGTAGGGGCAAGTTTCAGTGAAGTCATTTGGGGCATCCCCCAGCAACGATGGGATACAACCCAAGCAAATCAAACTCTGTGAGTTTGGAGCCACCAATTTCCTTCTGTCCCAGGATATCAGTCTGCCCTGGGGTTTCAGGCTGGTTTTGCTGGTTTTGCTGCATATTTCCCCCTCACATCTGTTTCTTCCCTCTTCTAACCCATCCCAAACAATATGAGGTTTTGTCCGCGCTCGGCATCCAGCAGCAGTTTCTCAAGCCCCTCAGCCCTTATTTTGTGTGCGTGCCCTGGACTTAACCAGAACATTCCTGCCAGAGGTTAAGCCCAGGCATGGATAATCCAAGAAATTTTTTTGCCTCCAGATCCAAGTGACTGTGATGATAACAGGCTCACAGATTCCATTTGCAGCTCCACACTGGCCCTTCTCCTGTCCCTTATCTCTCTGACAGGCAGGCCAGGCCTTAGAGATAAGACAGAGATCCCAGCTGCAAGCCAAGAGGATTAGGGCAGTGAAATGCCTGTGTTCCTGGCTTGGCTGTGCTGAACCATTTATCTCCTGTGTTATAATGAGGCGGCTTTCTAGGGCACTGTGGCCATGGATGCTGTGTCATGCTGCCATCACTGTCCTTGCAATGCTGTCATTTGAAGCTCCCACCCACATGAGACCAAAGCCAGGAGCAGCTGCGGAGTGAGCCCCTGCAAAATCAGAGGGCTGTGGGGAGAGCAGTGACCATGACAGGAAAGCAGGACTGGAGACAGTTGCTGGACCTGGAAATGGGAACTTTGTACTGAAGGACTAAAGAGTGCTGGGAAGAGGGGACATCAGGGCACCACAGTGCCCACAGCACAGCAGCGCTCTTGGGAGAAAACCAGGAAAATTAGTGCTTGGGCAAGGATATCCCTCAGGGAACAGGAGCCAAGCACTGGCTTTGGCAAGGGTGAGAGGGGAGGAGAATTGATCTTTTTCTTTGCCTCTGAAAACTGCCTTTTTTCCCCTTTCTCTTCTCAGACAGTGAGACCTTTGCTGTGGCACTTGACCCACGGTGAGAGGGTTTGTCCTCCCTCCTCATGTGGTTAGTTTCTTTCCTGATTAAAAGCGATTAAATAGCCCTAAAGCCTGCAGAAATGTGACTGAGGGGAACGGAGACAAAGAGCCCCTTCAAGATACCTTAAATCCCCAGGGCAGTATTTAGAGAGCCCTGAAGAGAGAACTGGAGCAGAAAGACCCTGCCAGGACCTCCCCGTCCTTCTCCCTCCTGCTTCACCCTTCGTTGCCAGCATCTCCTCCACCATGTCATTCTCTGAAGCAGAGGTGCAAAGTGCCCGGGGTGCCTGGGAGAAGATGTATGTGGATGCTGAGGACAACGGGACAACCGTGCTGGTCAGGTAAGGAAGGAGCCCATCCAATTGCTACACCAGCAGGTTGAAGAAGGAACAGCAAGAAGGATGGAGTTAAGGCCTAGGAGCACGTCTTGATGTTTTTCATGCAGCCCTTGCTGAGAATGTTTTCATCTGCTGTGGTTTATCCCATCTCAGGGAGGAGAAAGGGAAGAGGAGCAATCCACACAAGGAAAAGTAAAAGGAAAGGAGGAAGGAGGTGGGGAAAGAAAAAGAAACAAGAACAATTTCTTTACCCATTTAAGGTAAAGAAAAGAAAGTGTGGTATGACAGAGAATGGGAACAAAACTTTTTTCCTTATTTCCCTCTTCCTCTTTACCTCTAAACTCCTTTAAAGATTTTTGTTAACGTCTCAGTATTTCACTTCTCATTCTCCTTCAGCCTTTCCAGTCCAGTCCATCTGTTCCATTTTATTGCACCATTCTGTCACGTGAAAGGTGGGAGTTTAGATTTTTGTCTGTTGGTATCCCTGGGAGAGTTGATACCCTGATGCCCGACAGTCAGTCAGCATCTTGTAATGAGACCCTTCACCAACAGATTCACAAGATCGGAGGATTCCATCCTCCCTTGTTAGGGATTACTCAACAGAGCCCAGACCCCTCAGCAGCTCCTGCCAAGGTGTTATCCACTGGTGGCACCTGCAAGGACTCGCTTTAACAGTTTACAAGTTACACTTTTTATTAATACAATTTGTAACAGATTAATAAGGTTTGAAGGTTGTTGGTGATAGTGCCTACTGCAAAAATATTTCTTAAAGCAATCTGCTGATACATATATCAAACAAGCACAAGCTCTCATACAAAGCAATCTAACTAATATGCTATGGGGTAAGCATAAGCAAAAGCTCTAGTCCTAAAAGCAGCAATTAACGCACACAGGGTATATTTCCCACCCAAGGTGACCCTCTGGGGTGGGATAAGATGGACTCGGCCCATTGACTGATCCCAGCAGTTTCAGTGGAGGTCTTCTCTCACTTTCCCCCTATCCCCAGCTTACTTTTGTACTATCTTCTTTATGTTTTGGGTGGAGTTTGAGTGGCTCTAACCATAAATACCTTTTATTTCTGATTGATGTATAGGTTTAACTCTATCCATAACCCCACACTTTCTTATGGGCTTTCCTCTCTGTTTTCATACTGTTTCCCTTTCACATATCCCTCACTCATCTGGGACTTGTATTCACCTCCATGAGCACTGATCAGTGCAAAAATTATTTCTGGTTATTAGACCTCCCTCTGGCTTTCTTGTATATCACATCTTGTGCCTGGATTACCCTCAAAGAGTGTTACACACTGCTCTTTCCTTCTGCAGTCTTCACAGTCTGAAGGCCAGTTAGGGTCAGGAATGCAGCCATAAAAGGCTAGTAGCATCCAGAAGCTTGGCTCTCTGGGGTAATTTACTTTAGAAGGTTTTGCTTGAGAGTCCTACAGCCCCAGACCTGCCTATAGCGAAGTTCAAGGCTCCCCGGTTGAAGAGAGACATGGCCATACTGGAAAGGGTCAAGTGAAGGGCCGGGAAGATGATTAGGGCATTGGAGTCTCTCTCTTACGAGGAAAGGCCGAGAGAGTTGTGACTGTTCAGCCTAGAGAAGAGAAGGCTCAGGGGGAGATTATCAATGTGTATGTAAAAACCTGAAGGAAGATTACAAGGAAGGCACAACTTGCCTCTTCTCAGTGGTGCCAAGAAACAGGACCAGAGTCAATGGGCACAAACTGAAACACAGGATCTTCCCTCTGAACATCAGGAAACACTTTTTTACTGTGAGGGCAGCTGAGCACTGGTGCAGGTTGCCCAGAGAGGTTGTAGAGTCTCCACCCATGGAGGTACTCAAAAGCTATCTGGACATGGTCCTGGGCAACTGGCTTGACCAGTGGGGTTGAACCAAATGACCTCCAGAGGTTCTTTCAAGCCCAACCACTCTGTGACTCTGTGAAATGCAATCTGGAATTTGCTATTGATATTTCAGGAGGATAATTGGTTTACTCAGTGGAGTAAACTGCTTTTTTAAGAGCTTGATGAAGATGGCTGTAATTGATTAAAGGCAATTCTAAACATATTGAATTGTGTTATTTTTGAATAAATGAAATGAGCAGTAGTCAAACCATAGTCAAACCCATAGTCAAACAGTAATCCATCGCAGGCAGGAAGAAAGCTTTGGGATGGACTCTAGAAAGGGGTTAATTAACAAAACCAATAGTAGCTTTTCTCCATGAAAACACCCATCAGAATCACAGTGGTCATATCTCCTGACCAGAACATCTTTGGGAATATTATGCTGTCACACTTACCTCATGTGAACGTGCTCCCACTTCTCTGTGGAAGTGACCTAACACAGAGTTAACACTGAAGGAAAGGCGAGGGAAGGGACAGGCTGCCATGGGCACGGGGCGCTGTGGACAGATGCAAAAGGCAAAGCAGAAACAAGAAATGCAGGGGACAGAGGTGTCTGTCCTAATAAAGAAAAAGGGCAATAAATGCATAAGATGAGGCCTGGAACATTTAGCCATATCTGCACTGATGCCTGGGTTCACAAGTTAGGATGTCTCTCATTTCTCAACAGGATGTTTACTGAGCACCCAGACACCAAGTCCTACTTCACACATTTCAAAGGCATGGACTCTGCTGAAGAGATGAAACAGTCAGAACAAGTCAGGGGCCATGGCAAGAAGGTTTTCACTGCCATCAACGACATGGTGCAACACTTGGACAACTCCGAGGCTTTTCTTGGGATAGTGAACCCACTTGGCAAGAAACATGCCACCCAGCTGAAGATTGACCCCAAAAACTTTAGGGTGAGCCAGTAGCTCTCTTCCCAAGGGGTGTAATTGTGAGGGGAGGATGTTTTCCCCTTTGAGGAGTAGAACTGAGGAAAGCAGGCATTTCTTAGTATACCACCTACCTAGTGACTAGAGGGACAAACGAGCCTTCATCGCTACAGAGGGCTAGATAGTTAATAAGCAGAAAAGATCAGGAAGAAACTTAGCCGCTCAAGCCATGTATTCCCTAAGTGTCCAATATGGGGCTTCTTGTGGCCTCTAAACATTTGGGACAGTCCACTGATAGGAGAAAGATTGCAATGGATGGACCAGGTGAATCAGTCCTGTACAGCCATCTTTAAGCGATAGGTGCAGTCAACAATAACTAGATACACGGGACAGTTAAAAAAAAACCCAGCAGCAGTGACTGCCTTTTTTTGTGAATTCTATAATGCACCATAATTTCAATGCCCTGTTACAAGCTCTGCATGCAATATGCTGCAAATAGCTCTTGGACCCCTTTCTGCCTTCCAAGAATCCCAACTACAGATACATGTTTTGCTCTTATGCCTCTAATGTGGAGGAAAGTTCACACTGTTTTTTCTTCCCTTGTCCTTGTTTAGATTATCTGTGACATTATCTTACAATTGATGGAGGAGAAATTTGGTGGAGACTGCAAAGCTTCCTTTGAGAAGGTGACCAATGAAATCTGCACTCACCTGAATAATGTCTACAAAGAGGAGGGTTGGTGAGGATGTGCACCCTCCGTGCTCTTCAGACATCTTGACAGCACTGATTTGCTGCTTTTGGGCTCCCAGCCCCAGCTGGAAGAATGAAAATGTAAATATAAATTTAAAAAAAAAAAAAAAAAAGGCAAGAAAAAAGGCTTATACAATGTAGATATCAATGTCAATAATTTCCTTAGCAAAATGAATTTCTACAGCTAAACAAAACCCACAGATACATCAAAGTCAACCAACAAATCCTGATGTGTTTTGCAGTTTCAGTGCTCCAGGTGGGTTCCTCTGGCCACTGTCCCTTAAGATTACATTTTAAGATGATGACTTTAAGCTTGCTATTCCTAAAAGAAAGACTTGCTCCTTCCAGCAGCACAGCAGCTCTTTAACTCATCTACCACCTGTCCATCCTCATGAATAACAAGGAGGCTGTTTTGAAGCATCTCCAGAAACTTGGTAGAGGTCATTATTTAAGAGTGTTGTTTTGTGTTTGAAGTTAAACAAAGGGGGAGTGGTGTATGGAGAAGACTAACAACTGGGAAAGACATGGGGAAAGCCCCTTCTTGCATGAGCCAGCAGAGTTTTCCAGTCTTGGTTTCTCAGGGCAGTTTTCAGCACAAGGTATTACAACACTGAATGTGGTCACCACTGGGTCTCTCTGGGCAGGCATAAACATTTCCAGGGCGTGGATTTCACGGTGTTACTCCCAGCAAATGACTCTGGGTGTGTTCCCTGGTGAGGGCAATAGCACCGAGCTCACTGGCTCCTGTGCTGCTCAGAGCACCCAGCTGAGGGAGGCTGCTGCCTCACTGAGTGGGTGGCATGGTGGGCTCAGCCCAGAATGGGACGACTCCTGTCCAGTCGCACAGCCTCAGCCTCCCTTCAGTGGTAACGGAGTCCCGAACTATTTAATTGCTTTTCTTTGTATTCCTCAGACATGGTGAGATAATCAGCTAATAACTGCAAATAACCACATGCTGGTTTGCTTCAGTGTAACACAATAAACACAGAGAAAGCAGATGCCTCCTCTCATCTGTAGCACAGACAAGGCGACGTGCAGCAGTGGGAGCTGGTTACAGTGCACAGTTACTGGTGGTACTGCGGGTTTTACCAAAACCAGCTCCGATTCCCACCTGGGCACCCATCACACTCGCAGCAGTCAGGCTTCTCAGGTGATGGGAAGGGAAGCTTTCCACTTGACCATGAAGCAATAGTTTTGTAAATAGCCAAAAATGCAAAGTTCTCCTTCATTCAACGTGTAGTTTTTCACACCCAACCCATTTGTTTGGCAAAGGATGCTAAATCTCAAAGTCCAGAAGATGAACTCTTGTCGGAGAGGGAGGATGGGGCAGGCTGCTTTATTAGCTTCCCTATTCTATTTGGCTGAGGGAGAAGGGGAAGCATATTGCCCAGCATTGTCAGGGATTGTAAAAAAAGAACAAGATGTGTAAAAAATATAGACTCAAATCCCTGTGAGGGAGTACAAGTAGTTAAAGCTCTGAAAAGCTCAAAATTATTTCCCCTTTTTATTGACTTGCCTTAATGCATGTTAAGAGCACTATTTACCATGAGGGCGGTTGGCTTTAATGACCTGCTTTTTGTTGCCACAGGCACCCTGGGCTGACAGGGGCCTGGCAACACTGGCCGATGATTTAAGGCTCTTGTGTTCCCTGCTCCTGTGATGCAGAGAGGTGTTGCAAAAGCAAAGCATGTGAAACAAACCTAATTCAGGCTGCAGTAAAGAGTGGGTTATTTTAAAAATCCATTTAGAAAAGGGGGATACGTTACATTTTAAAAAAGTTTGTGCAACGTGTGTGGTTTAGGAGTACATGGTCCCCCCCCTTTTTTTTTTTAACTGAGATTTCTAAGAATGACAGAAAGCTTTTCCAAAAGAGTGTAGATTAGACAACATATTGAAATGGAGAATAACTGAGCTGAGTTTGCAGTTTTCCAGTAGGGTCACTGTTCAGTCCTGTCCAGCTTTCCTTGTACCTCACCGTGCCTCTGCAAAACAGGAACATTCATGTCCTTGGGAGGCAAACCAAACATTCTCCTTACTTACTGAACCGGTAACTATGCGGTGCTGCACATACTGTATGCATTCTTATGGAAAACTCTGATTCCGTGAAGAGAAACAGAAGGGAAACCTCACACCCAAGGGCAGTAGGAAGAGATTTCCTCTGGAGCATCACTGGTGAGTGGGACCAAAGCCCTCACACCAAGCTGCATGGGTTTCTTATAACCTCTGGGACATTAGAAAGGTCTGTGAAATAACAAATCTGTGATGTAGCATAGGTTGTGTGACAAGTGCCTGTGACGTGTTAAATCAGCTAGGTGCCCTGGAGTTATCTTTGTGTCTGACCAAACCAAAACAGTGAAAACAAATGAAAAATACTGAGAAAGGGGGAGAGGGGTGAGCAGATGCTCATGCAGGAAGTTTATCCACTAAGCTAGTTAAATCAAAGTGTTTTGCTGGTCATGTTGCTACAGAGAAAAAAAAAAGCATTCCCCCCAAAAAAAAACCTTGACCTTGTAGAGACCCACTTTCCTGACTCAAAATACTACCTAAACACCGTTAAAACACATGTGTAGTTGAATTTAACTTGCAAAACTACAGTCGCCGTGGTGACAAAGCAAAAACTTACCCAGAGGAAGGTGCATTGCAAGGCATAATCCTGTGCAAATACAAATAAGTGTTACCAGTTACCCTGTAACACTTACCATCATCCAGATAGCACTGCAGCCGGGGAGGCCCCGATCACGTCAAAGGACTGGAGAACCTCTTCCCACTAACTGGGAAATCCTATGCAGCGCATCCACTAGTGGGGTGAAGCCTTCATCTTTGCTGTGAGAGGGTCCAGAGGGTCCAGTGTAAGTGGTATTAAACAAACCAGCTTACATCACTCCATTGGTGTGGAAAACAATCTGGCTTTCTTCTTTTCTTGGTTTTCCCATGAAGCCTGGCTAGGTCTCAGGGCAAAATCAGGGAATCAGTTCAGACTAACTACTGCCAGATACCCCCATGGCCTTGACTAGTCTCTAAATACAGAACTACAGCTACATTTATATCTCAAATATGAACCAGCTGCGACCATGCAAGGCCTACTGCTCTCACAGCCTTGGCTGAAAAGAAAGGCACATTTGTAACACATACAAGCCTTACTAATTACTAATAATATGCTGTGCTAACAAGCATAAATGTGTACTTTTAAAGCATTACTAAGGATTATACAGCATCTTGGTTAATAAGCAGATATATGGCTAAATACAATACTAGGCTGAATATAATATTAGGTTGAAAAATTAATCTATAGGTCAACGTTGTCTCAGGGCCTGCTCTTCAGGCCCCAGCATTACAAACACCCAGTGATGGCTGGAAGGCAGTGAGGGTACAGCCCAGACAGGAACATGCTGGGAGCAGAAATGTTTCTACCCCATGCTTGGTATCAGGGTCGTCGCTTCTGTTAGAAGTGGAGAGGGGCAGGGGAGCCCTGTTAGACCTTCAGTTCACTTTTCTGGCTAAATAAAAGGTACCACAAGGCTTGTGATGATACAACGTGTGACGAGGAAGGATTGCCGCCTACAAAAGATCATACTGAGATATGAGAAGTGAATTGTGATGTCTGAATCGGCACTAGGAGCCAATGGTCCCTGGAAAAACAGAACAGCCACTGAATGCAAATGTCTGTACATCCAGTGTGGCATGCAGATGTCTCATAAGAGCCAAGGTGTGACTCATGCTGCAAACCAAACCAAAAAAGTCCCCAGACTTATTTTAACCTTCTCAGTTTTCAATATTGCAAAATATATAGGTTTTTTTTTCTTTTGTTACAACATCTGGGTTTAGAAAGCAGATACATACCTTTTTTCCTTTACCTTTGCTAAAGCTAATACTGAGACAATGGACATTCGTACTTAGAATAGCACTGAGTCTCAGTTAACCTTATGGGCCATAGCAGAGCACTTCTGTCTTACACAGTGAGGTGGGTTTGAGCCAGTTCAAGGCACAGTTATACTGGTCAGATTGCACATGGGCAGCATCAAACAAGCCTAAGACACACAGGACTGACTTTTTCCTGGAGTGAGCCAACAGCATCCCAGATTGAATCATTTGCTTACTCAGTGGGCAAGAGAAATGTCAGTCCTGCTGTACTGTCAGAATATTTTGTGCGCTCGCTGTGGAGATCCCAGGATTCTGCTTCTGAAGTTCTCGGGTGTGCTTGCTCAGGAGGATGCACTGTGGTGTGTCTCTTGCTGGCAGCAACACTGTGCTTCACCTCCCCTCTGCACCACAGAAGTGGACAAATTAGGGACCTGCTGCTGGTGATGGTGGTGCTGCTGATCTCCATCCAGCCTCCACAGGCTGTCCAGCAAGGACCCCTGGCAGTCACTGACCATGGCCACCAGGCAGAGCAGGCGGATCCCAACATGATGCTTAATGTCCCATTAGCACAGACCATCAGAAGGGATTTGCACAGGCTTACAAGCAGAAATAAAATTTTAGGACAAGGAAGAACACTGAAGCTGACATCTGCACTATGGTCCCACCCTCCATTGAGGCAGTGGCTGCCTCAGCCTGGTGGCAGTTCTTTACTCCCATTGTTCTGCTGCAAACCAGTATGAGCTTAGGAGGATGGCAGCAATCTGAAAAGTTACAGTAGTTCCATGCAAAGTCCCCACCCACTTACCACCACCCACTTACCACCTTCCAGTAATGGAGACAGAGCCCTGAGCTGGCCTGATGGTGCCTGACAGCCAGTGCTGTGAACTTGCCTTCTTGGCAGCCTCTCTGAGCCAGCATCTGGAACGATTTCTAACCTTTGTGCTCTCAACTGAGCATCACCATCAACACTTTACTACAATCAGCATTTGTCAGATCATTTCAGCCTGGGAAAGGGCTGTACAGTCACAGCACCTCCTGCTCTCTGTCGTGCCCTTTTTGACCTTGCCCGTGTCCAGCCCTGCTTTGTTGGTAGCTAATCCTGCCTCTCCCAATGGTGCATCTCTAGGACCCT